CCACCCCATTCTTCAAGAGCGAAGAAACTACCCATTCACAGCAGGCAAATGTTTGTTCATTGATTCAAACTCGCTTGCTTCTGTGGTTTTTGTTTTGTTGTTTTAGTTGGGGGTTTCTTGAGACAGAGCCTCAAGTTTGCTGAGTAGCCTGACCTTCTGCCTCCACCTCCCCAGGGCTGGATGACAGGCCCGCACACCACCCCAGCTTTGCCCAGGATTGGAAGCAGGTTACTTTATTTAGTCTTACGCAAGGTCGATGTTCTATTATGTAAAGGGAAAAACTGCCCCTTCATGTAACTAGTAAATGGGAGAGTTGTAACTCCAAATAAAGGGCTGATGACGCTGACCTGGGAGTGGAGTCCAGGCCTTTGAACATCTTTTCTCCAGAAGTCTTTAGAGCTGTAGAGCGCAGGGCAGGTGGCTGACTGGGAGAGATGGGGGATCCCACAATGAGAAAGACACCTTCATTTAGAGAGCAATAGACTCCGAACCTAACCCAGGCTGTCCTCTTTGACCTTTAACCTCCAAGCCACTTGGCCTCTTCCGGTGCTGACGCTTGACCTCTGGAATCCTTTCTGTGTGACAGCAGATGTTAGGTCGATGAGCTGCCGCTGCCATGGGCGGTTATTTACCAGTCTCTGCCTCTCTTCTCTCCACTAGACAATGACCAATACATCTGCGATTAGGATAGTTTTGAGCTCTTGTGGGGTTGTTTTGATTGTTTTAAATAAATTCTTTATAATTGTAGCACTAACTCCCCCATACAGTGTTTCCAGTTTGGACACACAGTAAGCTAGAAGGTGCATATTCTCAGGGCACCTAACTAAGGAGAGGCAGTGGACTCCATCAACTTGCCTGAACTTCAGACTCTGAACCCCAATAAGGAACACACAGAACCCCTTAGCAGGGGCTGATGTCAGGAAAAGCTACCATGTTTCCTGCTACGCCCATGTTGAGGCTCTGAGGAAGGTTGTTTCCCTCCCTCCTTTCCCCAATACCTTCCTCCGTCCCTCCTCCCTTCCTCCGTCCCTCCCTTCCTCCCTCCCTTCCTCCCTCCCTCCCTCCCTTTGGCAATACTACAGGTTGAACCCAGGGCTTTGCCCATGTTAAGCTTGAATGTTCCTGTCACTGAGCTGTATCCTCAAGCCCCTTGGTTTTGTGTGTGTGTGTGTGTGTGTGTGTGTGTGTGTGTGTGTGTGTATTTTAATCACGGCTTATATAATGTACAAGTCTCACTTGATAAGTGAATTGTCAATAGCATTTAAAAATCGGTCACAATTAGTAAATCTGAGTTTTAAGCTCTTCAATCAGATGAAATTATCATGAAGCGAACCCATAATCAGACAAAAAGAACCTTAACTAAAATCTTAAAACCTGAGCATCAGGATTTCTAGTCGATTACCGGCTTTCTGATTGCTATCATCTTTACTTGTATTTATTTCCTAGGCAGGTTTCCTAAGTTGGTTGTGTACCCCCACCCCCACCCCCACCCCATGGATCCCAGGATCAAATTCAGGTCATTGGTCTATGAGAGATCAGCAGCTGTTTGTTTTCTAACAGTAAAAGCTTAGAAATATCCTAAAAATGAGGGAATAATTAAATAAATTACAGCATTCCATCCATTAAAGCAGCCTTTTAAAATGATATTCACCCAGAGGTTTTAATAACATATGACAGCAGGATACAGAGTTATGTATATACCACAAAACCATGGGTTGTGTTTTTTTTTTTTAATTAAACATAAAATTGAAGTCTGGAAGGAAAACATCCAAAATTAATAGTAGTTACTTGATGGGTAATAGCTTATGATAGGGTTTTTTGTATGTAGTTTATGTTGCTTTCCTATGAGTATAAATTACTGTAATAATTTAAAATGCATGTGTAGTTAATTTATAATTTTAATGTCATCATTTAATACCATAGCTATTCAGAGCTCAGCTATCTTAAAAATCTGGAATATCGCTAAGATTCTGCATATAGAAAAACCCATTCTGAGCGGCTAAAATTAATATTGCAAAGTTCACATAGAAAGCATTATCATGTCTCAGACTTCCAATAATTCAATACCCAGAGCTCACAGAACAAAATGTACATACTCATATGTACACTGCACACAGTCCTTAGGGGGGCAGCTTAGAAGAGCCGGGAGACTAGTCAGCATGACTCCTGAGACCACAGGAGGGACACAGAGCAGCCCACGCCCTCGACCAGTGGCCCTGAAACCCCTGTGGGCTCTTCCCTCAGTCACCACTTAGCAATACGGTTCATATCGGTAGCCCAGCCAACAAGAAATGCCTTTTTCTGTTCTTTAAAATTTATATGAAAGATTTTGTTAAAATCTTGTGAAGGTTTTTCATCTCACATAGCTCAAATCTAAGCAGGCAAAGACAAAAGTCCCTAGGTAGGTGGACTTCCTCACTGAGTTTCCAGGGAACTCGACAATGTTTTACTGTGTCTCTGAAGCAGACCTGGTACTGCTGATCCCCTTGCCTCAGCCTTCCTAGTGCTAAAAGTACAGATGTGTTCATCACATCTGGCTTCATTTTCTTACCATTTATAAGAGCATGTTTTTTGATAATTTTCCTGTTTATATCAGACACTCTCATTTCCTGAGCTCCCATAAATACCTGAGTGACCTAGAGAAGAATGTCACAAAGAGATGCCAAGGAATGTCACTAAGGCTGCCCTGCGAGGCCTTAGAGATGAAGGACAAACAGCCAGGCTTTGAGTCTGGGTTACTGAGAAGGCCTCAGCAGCAGCATTCAGCCTGTGTTGTACCTGTCTTAGGATGCAGATGGGGTTGGCAGAATTTGGAATATAATAGTCAGCATGGGCTGTGGGGTCTAGGACAGGTGTGGTCGTTAGCCCTGAACAACCCACTCACCAGCCTTGCTCCCCGACGGAAGCATCAGAGAAAATAGATGGATGTTCAGGAAAACGGTTGCTCCCTCCCACTGTAGCTGGTGGGAGGAAAATCCCATCTTCTCTGTTGTGTGAAGTCAAGGAGAGCTGTTGGGGGAGTGTAAAAGCAAGTGAGGGCCACAGAAATCCCTTCCGCCCTGTGGGGAGCACACTGGGTTTGTCTTTCACGTCTAGCCCTCTTGTCAGCAGGACAGGAAGTGAGGGGGCAGTGCCAGAGCAGCCAGAGGGCTGTCAGGGCCCTCACCCCTCACAGTCAAGAGCCATGAAGTGCCTGGCTTCCGGTTACACCCTGTGACCTCTCCTACAGCTCCCTGCACTCCTGGGCTCATCCATGCTTAAGGCAACAGGCTGAGGGCTGCTGGGGCTGTTTTTATGTCCTTCCCTGGTCAGCCTGCAGGCTCGCTGAGAGGTAAGACAAGGTTGGCCAAAATGTATAGCTCAGCCGACCACAGTGGGTTTGACAGCACAGTAACTGAAAACCTAGACAGAGGCCAGCGGATTTTGCTGGGTTTTGTTCTAAAGACTAGAAATAGTCATTTGCTGGTCCACTTGCCCAGTTTGATATGTGTCCCAGGAACCACTTCTTATTATGAAGCTCACTGACACCATTGCTATGGCCCAGCATGAGTGCCAGGCCGATGGAGGGACACCTCATGAGTGCCCTTTCCAGAGAATAAGAGACCATAGAGTAATCCAGAGAACGAGCGTGTGGCTGCGGGCTTGTCTGTGGACACAGGAGGCCTCGTAGGGCCCTTGTTCGTCAGAGCTTAACTGACATCATAATTTGAGAGTAACTTACTAGAATTATTATAAGTGCCCTTCTCCTGCAAGATTGGAATCCATGGAGGCAGAGCCCTCTTACATCTGACTCTCTCTCCTGCCACAGACCTGGCGCAGGTAGTAGCCAGTGGTTATTTGGCTTCAGGCCTGCCTCGTGGTTGCACTTTGACAAGCCCCTTAACCTCTGTGTGTGTGTCCTCATCTGAAGGACAGAAGTCAGATGCTCTGTACCTCCCTCACCTCTGTGCTGTCATTGATAAAGCTGTATTGAAGCTAATTTCACCCACACAGTAACATCTAGAACTATAATAGTCAGCGCTCCCTGCAGGCTTTGCTGGCAAAGTTACAGCCGTGGCTCAGGGTCTCATACTCCACTCCACTAATTGATGGCTATTTATTATTTCAGACTTACTCTACTTTCTTGACAATGCCTTTGCAAGGCCCAAGCGAAATGACTTCAGAAACTAAAGTTTTGTGTGGCTGGACACTGATTATTATTCCTGGCTCAGAGGAGTCACTGAAGACCAAGTATCATAAAAATGGATGTGGCCAGCCTTGTAAAAGAAAAGCCATTTCCCGTGGTAACATTTCATTAAAAAGAAAGAAGGGTTCCCTTGGTGCTCTCTGTGTGGTTCTGATGCCAGGAGATAAGTAGGATGTTGGAAAGGCCATCCATCAGCAAGTTACCGTGAGCAGCTTTCCGTGGGATGGAATAGTCAAGGCCAGAGTGAGAGCACTGAGGGCCCAGCATCCTTCACAGAAATGCCTGGGCCTGTCACACGCGCTGCAGATCCAGGCCGTCTGTAGCCTTCAGCTTTTCCCCAAGCGATACGGTTTCTGTCATTTATCCTACCTTGGGCAATACCTTGAATAAATTTGTATCTTCTGGGCTGGAGAGGTGACTCAGTGGTTAAGAACACTGACTGATCTTCCAGAGGACCCAGATTCAATTCCCAGCATCCACATGGTGGCTCACAACCATCTGTAGAGGGATCTGACGCCCTCTTTTGTCATGCAGGCACACATGCAAATAGAGCATTCATACACATAAACAAATAAACCTTTAAAAAATTTGTATCTTCCTTGAAGCATGCTCTGTAGTGTTTCTTGCTTTAAATGCTATAACAAATACCATCTAAGACGGATAATAATCTAATTCTGTTTGGAGACTTGTTTTTGTTTTATCTCAAATCTAAAATATGCTGTTATTAATATGCTAAAATATGTCTGTGGTCCCAGAAGATCTAAGCTGAGTTCTGGAGCCGAAAGTAACTTCCCATTTTTGGTTTGTCTTCTAGTGACAGGCATCACACCTCCAGTGCCATCCCTGTTCCAAAGAGACAAAGCTCCATGTTTGGGGGTGCGGACGCAGGCTTCTCTGGAGGTATCCCTTCACCAGACAAAGGACATCGAAAACGGGCCAGCTCAGAGAATGAGAGACTCCAATACAAAAGCCCTCCTCCCAGCTACAATTCAGCATTGGTCCAGCCTGGGGTGGCCATGCCCACCACGGGAGACTCTGAGAGGAAGGTCATGCCACTGTCCTCCTCCCTGGACACCTCCCTGGACTTCTCCAAAGAAAATAAGAAAATAGGAGTCGACCTGGGCAACAGTGTAAGTGGAGACCATGGAAATTCGGACTCCAGCCAACAAGGGGAAGCCCCGCCTGGGCAGCTGGCAGCTGTGAATGGCACTGCACTACCCAGCGAGCAGGCTGGCTCTGCCAGCGCCCTGCTGCCTGGCCAGTGCCATCCGGTCCCCTCAGCTGAGCTCTGCTGCGCAGTGGAGCAAGCAGAGGAAATCATCGGGCTGGAAGCCACAGGCTTCACCTCAGGTGACCAGCTCGAAGCTCTCAGCTGCATCCCAGTGGACAGCGCGGTGGCAGTGGAGTGTGATGAGCAGGTGCTGGGAGAATTTGAGGAGTTCTCTCGGAGGATCTACGCCCTCAGCGAAAACGTGTCCAGCTTCCGCCGGCCGCGCAGGAGTTCCGACAAGTGAAGAGAGCGGGCAGACCATAGGACCAGGCAGAGCCACTGCCTCCGACCAGGCCCAAGCTGCACTTAACCTTTTTAATAATCCTGACACAAATGAGTATCCGTGGAGGAGATTCCTCAGAAAGGCTGACTTTGGGATCATTGGGTACCAGTGGGGCCAGTCCCTGAGATTTGCTTTCCAGGCAAAGGTCACCCTCTTGCTTACAGCTCAAGTCATCTTATAGGCATTCGTCTGCGCTTTATTTACACTTGGGTGTTTTCCTCAGAAGGAAGATGATAATATATATGTAATAGAACGAACTCACCTTTAGTTTCTCAAAAGCATTTGCCCTCGCCATTGTTTGTAAAACTTTGCAAAATGGAATATTCAAAAATAGCTTTCCACTACTTCCTGAGAGGTCTATGGCCATCCATTAGGTTGAATAAGAAGCAGAGTAGAGGGTCCTTGTCCGGGGCCCTCCACCCCAAGTACCACAGTCAGCCTGCAGACTCAAGATGGGCCATGCACCCCGCAAGCTGGGGCAGTACATTCACTAGTCTGAAGCCAGTGGGCAAGCTGTTCCATCTCGTCTAGTGTGCCATACCCTGATGAAAACTTTTCCTGTGGTGGATCCCAGGGGACCCTCAGAAACCTCAAGGTCACCACAGTCAGGGGGCAGCCAGCTTCCTTTGGGGCCAAAGTTTTTATGTGGGCAGATGCTATGGTCCAAACTTGGGCACACCTCTAGCAATACACTCCCCAGATAAAGACCCCTAAATATAAATCCCAAGTTAACTTATTACATTTCAGTCAGAAGGAAGCCATTATATACGACACAGGATACATAGTCAGGATGGCCAGTTTGCAGACTGTGAGACAGTCGAGAGAGAGTTGGATTAAGAGACTAGATGAAGCATAGACAGTGTGCAATTTCATGATGTTAAATTATGTTTTTGAAATCCATTGTCATTCTGCATTCAGATTTCATTCACTGTCGCATTATACAGTATGTACCCACAGACATTGCCTCAGGGTTGCAAGCTCTTAAAAATTTATCCACATATCCATGTATTGTATAGAAGAATAAAAATGGAATTTACTTCACTTGACCTGATTTTCCCCATCCCAGTTATTTTGGTTTTGGTTTTTCTTGGGGGAGGGCGAGGATTCCCCTCTAAACCTGTATCTCTTCATGTAACATCATGACAAGGCTAGCCTGAACAAAAGCCAAGGCCGTATCTAAGCTGATACTGTTGATTTCATTTGAGTTTACATACTGTGGAAAGCGACACATACGTCACAGCTGTATTCCCAATAGTGGCGTTGTCCGCATGGCTCCTGAACTCACGGGTCTCATAATCATGCCCATATTATGTCCAGGCATCCCAGGCCCAGCTTTAGTGGGCAGCTCTATTGCTGTATGGACTAATTCACATCATTATTTCTATACAGTGAATGCACAGACTTACTGCGTAGCAGACACCTGTCCTCCAATTGGAAGTTTTTGCTTGGTCTGAGGAAGTCCATTTTATTCCATTTGTGGGGGTGAAGCTTCTTCACAGGGTACTCTCATTGGCCTTGGAGTCAAAATAGGTAGCAGACTTTGCCATCTTGAATGCAGATGCTGTGGAGTCTTGCGGGGAAGCAGCATCCAAAAGGTAAAGGTGTTGGAAGGTCAATGTCAGTGCAGTGGAAGGTGAGTGCCATGTGATCTGTGACCTCCCTAGGGCCGGAGATACACCTGAGGCTTCATGCACATGCCCTGGCCCTGAGACTGTAGAGACGCAGAGAGGTCTGCGTTCTTATCATTGGTCTCGGCCTTCTGAAACTCCTAAGGGTGGACTTTGAAGTTACTTCTACAGCATGGAACCATGCTCCTGCATGGGTTTGCATTACCCTGGCCTGATCGGTTCTGTCCATGCCTTCAGCTTGCCCCAGCTGCCAGTGACGTATGCATCCAAGTGCAGGTAAGCTTTCGGCCAGAGTCAGCCTCCTTTGCTACTTCCCGTGACCTGGGCGGAGCTTCCAGCCATAACAGAGTATGTTTTGCCTTTGTTTAAAAGTGGCCAAGGCCAGACTCCCAGATGATCTTATCTCCTACTGGTCTTTTTAATTAGTCTTGTAAATCACTAAAAAAAATAATAACAAAATTTGCTTGGGAGATAGAAATGGGCAAGGAAAATCTGTTGCTGTCCTTTTCTGAACGGCTAAGAGCTCCTTCGGTTTTTACATGGTTGAGACAGGTCTAGCAGCCTGCACAGATTATAAAATGAATATTTGATTGTGTTTTCTCTCTCCATTTCCCCTCAGCCACATTAAAAATTCCAGAGATTTTTTTTTCCCCTCAGAATATTAGTCTTGGAAGATTATACACAGCTATACTCTTTAGCAGTTCTCATGGTACCCATTTATCCTGACCTAACTGGTTATTTAAATAATTTTTAAACTACCACCAATAATAAGCGGCATGCGGAGCTGGTCTGTTGATAATTGGAGGAAAACTCAGCATCTGTATTTATACAATAAAATTGAGTAGTATTTATTTTGAGAGTTAAAAGTATATGTGATTTCCCTGTTATATTTGAGTCCTGTCTTCTCCTGTTTTGAATTTCATATTGAAGTTGAGTTAACTCTGGAAACCTATTCTTGAACAGTCAACCAGTCACTCGCTGATTACCAAACCCACTCTACACATGTGTGCAGCCCAGGGCTAAACAAAATGAATAAGGATTGCTACGTTTTAATCTGCTGCCGCATCCTCTAGTCAAGTCACGGCTGTGTGAGCAGTTCGTTAAGACTCACTGTGGTAACGGATGGAGAGGTAGTCCGGGTCAGACCTCACATTATAGATGGAGGGCACAGGCATGCAGAAGGCATGACCAGGCCTGTGTGTGTGCTTGGAGGACACTCGGGAATCGATGGATCTGTTGTCTCTCTCATTGTAACAAGAGCCACGGAACAGAGAAGGTCTTACTCGGACTCACAGTTGCAGCGCACCGTCCATCATGGCGGAGAATCGCAGCAGGTGCTTGAGGTAGCTGCTCACGGAGATCCACAGCCAGGAATGTCAGTGCTCAGCCTCTTCTTTTTATTCAGAGAATTGATGCCTCCCACAGTTAGTGGGTCTTCCTACCTAACTAATCTAATCTAGATAATCCCTCACAGGCATGGCCCAAGCCTTGACCCTGTGTGACCCTACAGCATGTCAAGTTGACAGTAGTTATCCTTCCAAACGGATCCACTGGGCCACTGCAAACTCCCTGAGACCACAACTATTACTAGAGCTGGCTGAGGCTGGGCTCTCGGGATACCAGTAACTGAGCGGTTACTTCTTTCCTCTCTCTGTGTGAAAAAGCGCATCCTTGTGGCCCTGGGTCCTCAGTGTGCTTGCTCAGTGGAGTTGACCCTGCTGTGTGGCCCAGCAGCTGTCTCCTTTAGACGCTGGTTCTGTTACCAGTGACAACTGGTCACCTTCCTGCCACTAGAATCGTTGATCCTCATCAAGTCATCGAACATTTAAGGATCTCCATTTCTTAATCTATAAAAAACTGGAAAGAGCCGGGCGGTGGTGGCACACACCTTTAATCCCAGCACTCGGGAGGCAGAGGCAGGTGGATCTCTGTGAGTTCGAGGCCAGCCTGGGCTATCGAGTGAGT